TGGTGCTGACGCAGGGACCCTGACAGGTGCAGCCGAGCAGCTGTCTCAGCAGTCGCCGGTGTTGCAGCCGGACCCGCGCCATCCGCAGCAGCCGCAGCCGCCGCAGCTGCAGCCGTCGCCGCAGCAGCAGCAGAGGCAGACGAGTCATCTTCCGCGTGGGTGGCCCGGCGCTGGTGGCAGCGCTGGACGTGGTGGTGGTACACGTGGTGGGCTGCCGAGTGGTGGTTCGGGTGCCGCGCGCTGTCAGTACCTTCTTCACACCAGTCCTCACCGTGGCTTCGTTTGCGGTAAGATCGGTCATACCTCCGTCCGCTGTTTCCATCGCCTAGACGACCTGTTTCGTCAGCGTTTCATCCCGTCGCCCGAGCTCCCAGACTGGCACAGGTTGCTTAGTCGTAGGGTTCAGATTTTTGATCTGGACATGGATGTGATGTATGCTGATGACTCTAGTGTGCTTCTGTCTTATTACCCCTTGTTGCCTAGTGTAGGTGTGCCTTCCAAAGACTCCCCTCCTGCGTCAGGCATAGGATCCCCTGCTTTGTTTAGCCTTGGTGCTTCCGTCGCTACTTCGCCTCTGGCCGCCACTACCGCGCTCTCCTTCACCCTCGACTCTGGCACTTCCCGGTGCTTCTTCCGCGACTCCACCACGTTGAAACCGCTTCCTGTCCCTGCCGCCGTCTCCCTGGCTGACCCCTCCTCTGGCCCTGTAGTCGCCCGCAGTTCCACCACCCTCCCTTGCCCGGCGGTTCCTTCGGGCTCTCTCACAAGCCTGCACATCCCCTCGTTCTCCAGGAACCTAGTTGGTGTCGGCTGCCTCCAGGACCTTGGCGTCATCACTACGTTCCCTGGTCACGAGCGGTACGCTGTCTGTACCGAGGCCGCCTCTGGTGGCCCCCTTACCACGTTCCCCCGGGACCCAGTGTCCGGACTGTTCACACTCGACACTGTGACCCCCCCGGCTGGGACCCCCCCTCAGGTGGCTGCGTCTACCCACGTTGCTGCTGCCTGCTCCTGTCGGTCACTCACCCACCCGACTCTCCTATGGCACCACCGTCTTGGTCACCCTGCGCTCTCGCGGCTGCGTCACATGTCACAGCACGGTCTCGTCCTAGGCCTCCCTGGGTCGTTCTCTGAGTTTCCCTCCTCCTCTGCCCCACCTTGCACGCCTTGTGTCGAGGGCTGGCTTCGGCGTGCTCCTCACTCCTCGTTTCCCCCTACCGCCGCACCGCTACAGACTCTGCACATGGACGTCTGGGCCGCGTCGAGAGCGCTACTTCCTACTGCTTGTCGACGACTACACGCGCTACACCACTGTGCTCCCCCTGGAGCGGAAGGCCGACGTGCTTGACGTTCTTATCCCGTGGCTTGTCGTTGCGCATGTCCATCGCGGTCTCCCTGTCTTGCGCCTCCACTCCGACCCTGGTGGCGAGTTTGCCTCTGGTGTCCTTGGTCGTTTCCGTCGTACGGAGGGCATCACCCAGACATTCACCTTGCCGAACTCCCCGCAGCAGACTGGGGTCGCTGAGCGACGCATCGGTTTGGTCATGGAGGTGGCTCGCACCTCCTTGATCCATGCCGGTGCGCCCCATTTTCTGTGGCCGTTCGCCGTTCGCTACGCCGCTCACCAGTTTAACCTGTGGCCGCACCCCCAGCAGCCTCAGGTTTCACCGACCCTCCTCTGATCTGGGTCACCTGGTGACGCATCTGCGTTCCACGTCTGGGGCTGCCTTGCTCACGTTCGTGCCTGTGGCACGGACAAGCTCACTGCTCGCACCCTTCCCTGTGTCTTCCTCGGCTTCCCCCTTGACGCGTCTGACTGGCACTTCTACCACCCGCTGTCTCACCGGTTCTTTCACTCCCGTGACGTCACCTTTGACGAGTCCGTCTCCTTCTTCCGCTGCTTCCCCCACCGAGGTCCCCGAGTTACCCCCCCCCTATTCATGGTCACCCCTTCCCCGGTCGTCGCCGCCCCTCCTCCTCCCCCTCCCCGTCCTGCCCCCTCTGGTGTGTCCCACGTCACCCTACTTACGTCGGTTGTACCGGTTGAGGAGTCTACTGACTCTGGTAGTCCTGCGGTGCAGTCCTCGCCGCCTGTCCCTTCTCAGGTGTCCCCTCCTCCGCCACCTCCGCAGCCGCAGTCGCCACCGCTGTCGCAGCCGTTGTCACTGCCGTCGCCGTCGCCGCAGCCGTCGTTGCGAGCGCCGCCGCCGCAGCCGTCGCCGCAGCAGTTGGTTGCCTCTGGGGGTGCTGGAGTTGGGGTGGGTACTAGTCCTGGGACTCCTGTCGTGGCTTGTCCCGGCGGGCCTGGGGGTGGTACCGGTGCTCGAGGGGTTCTAAGCTCTGGGGGTGTTTCTTCTGGGGGTGCTGGTGTGGAGTGTTCAGGACGTAGCCGCCCGGCAGCTTGCGGTCCCGGTGTCGGCGTCACACCGCCGTCACAGCAGTCCCCGCCGGTGTCAGCTCTTCGCCTGCTCGGCCTTCCGTCCCCTGATCCCGTGCCCGTGCCTCCTCCTCCTCCTCCAGTCTCCGGCCCTGTGTTCCCTCCTCCAGACGCGTCTCCGGCCCGTTTCCCCCCTCGTTCCCCTCCTGTGTCCCATCCTCACTCTCCTGACCTGACTCCCCCATCTCACGTCTGATCTCGCCATCCCTCCCGTGCTCGACCTGTCTCCCTTGTCTCGCGCTCTCACCCTATATTGCTTCGTTCCCACGTGTCTCGTCCTCCCCTTCTCCTGTCGCCCCCTCCGTCCTCCCTTGTCGTTGCTCCCCCCCCTCTGTCTGACTACCTTCGTACCGCTCGTCCTCTTGTTCCTCGGGTCCTTGCCTCTCTCGTTACCGACCCGTCAGTTCCGGTTTCGAGCCTTGACGCCCTTGTCGCTGCGGTCGCTGACTTCGCCTCTACCCGCCGCCTTGACTACGCCACCGCTCTGGTCTCTGACCCTGCTTGTCCTCCGTCTGTCGGGGGTGCTCCTGCCCTTGGCAGTGACATCCTGGAGGACCGCCAGTACGAGCTTGCTTTCCTTTCCGAGGCTGCTCCCCATCTCTGTTCCATGCTTCTAGTCCCTGAGGGTGACCCCGACGCTTTCGACATCCCGACCCCTCGCACTTACGCTGAGGCGGTCTCGGGACCCTGGGCCTCTCAGTGGATAGCTGCCATGGAGCAGGAGATGGCATCTTTGAGATCCACCGGCACCTACGTCGACGCAGTTCCCCCACATGGGGTGAACGTAGTCGATGGCCGCTGGCTCTTCAAGGTGAAGCGCCCTCCTGGAGAGCCGCCTGTGTTCAAGGCGCGCTACGTGGCTAGAGGTTTTACTCAGCGTGAGGGGCTGGACTTCTTCCAGACCTTCGCTCCGACCCCGAAGATGACTACTCTTCGGGGGCCACTACACGTAGCAACTCAGCGTGACTACGAGCTTCACTCCCTCGACTTCTCCACTGCGTTTCTTCACGGCAGTCTACACGAGCAGGTCTACCTGCGTCGCCCTCAGGGCTTCACTGGTACCTTCCCTCCTGGGACCCAGTGGCTCCTCCGGCGCCCCATCTACGGCCTGCGGCAGGCTCCCCGTGAGTGGTACGATACGCTGCGTGCTACGCTTGCTGACCTGCAGTTCTTTCCGTCCTCTGCAGACCCGTGGCTCTTCGTTCGTGCTGGCCAGACTTCGTTCTACATCCTTGTTTACGTAGACGACCTGGTCTTCCCCACAGCAGACAGGGACGCACTGGCCTCCGTGAAGGCAAAGCTGCTGAAAAGACACACGTGCACTGACGTTGGAGAACTGCGCCACTACCTTGGCTTGCAGATCTCCAGGGACAGAGCAGCCCGCACCATCACTTTGACTCAGTCACACTAGGTGCGCCAGGTCCTTCAGAGGTTCGGCCTTGAGTTCTCCTCCGCACAGCCTACTCCTCTGCCTCTAGACCACAGGCTCTTCGCTCCAGTTCCTGAGGAGTCAGCAGAGCCTAGTGGTCCTTACGCAGAGCTGGTGGGTTGCCTCATGTACCTGATGACTTGCACGCGCCCAGATCTCGCATACCCTCTCAGCATCCTGGCTCGCTTTGTGGCTACAGGCAGACACCGACCTCAGCACTGGTCTGCCGCTAAGAGGGTTTTGCGTTACCTTGCAAGTACATCGGGCATGGGGTTAGTGCTAGGAGGACGTAGGCCAGTGGTCCTTACTGGACACACAGACGCTTCTTGGGCAGACGACGCCGAGACCCTCGGGTCCTCACAGGGCTACTGCTTCAGCCTTGGTTCAGGTGCCGTCTCGTCGAGAGCTACCCGCTCCTCGTCTGGTGCCCAATCCAGCTGTGAGGCCGAGATCTACGCCGGTGCCATGGCGGCACAGGAGCTCCGCTGGCTGACCTTCTTGCTCACTGACTTAGGTGAGCGGCCTAGCTCTGCCCCGGTCCTGTACGCTGACAACAGGGCCATGATCCTCCTGTGTCAGGAGCCTCGACTCGAGGGCAGAGCGAAGCACATTCAGCTGCGGTTCTTCCTCCTGCGTGAGCTGCAGCAGCGTCGCCAGGCGCGCGTAGTACACTTGGCCTCCGGTGCCAACACAGCTTATATCTTTACGAAGGCGCTTGCGCCTAAAGATCATCAGCGGCACTGTGTACAGCTGGGTCTCGTTCCTGTAGCCTCTCACTTGCTAGGGCCTTGACTTTGTAGTGTCCTTTATATATATATTTTACCCTGACTGGCCTTGTGGCCTCTCCCAGTGGCTGGACTAGTAGTGCCGCCCTGGGCTTGCTCTTGCCTTGTCTGTACTCCTTTTGACTGGTCTTTAGACCCTTGTCTCAGAGGCTGGACTAGTAGTGCCGCCCTGAGCTGCTTCTTCCCTTGTTAGGCACTGCCCCTATATAGTCTAGGGGGTGTGTCAAATGTAACTTAGGTCGTTACTGTAGACTATACTGGATTGTGCCTTAGAGGGTACAACACCCTAGTCTGTATATCCTTGTACACACACATTCTAGATCAATCATTTTCTTTATGATATTATATACGTGGGTTTACGGTACTCATTATGATTATCCTTGTCATCTCGGACAGGTGTGAAGTCTTCCGCTGACTTTTACTCGTGGTTCCACCAACTCTAGATCCTGGCCACCCGAAACACGTGTTTCACTTTTACAATGACGTCGTGCAAAAGTTGCTCTTAAAACAATACAACTGCAACGTTGTACAGACCAAACATGCCTCAGATCGTATACTCACTGTCTCAGAGAGCTCCTCCACCGCATGACCTGCTAGCTAAGCCCTAGTCGGTTCAAGATCCCGCCAAGCACTCCCTTGGACCCTCCCTCGCCCTCCCCCGGCCCATTCATCACAGCATCCCCATCAGCAGCAGCAGGAGGGCCAGCAGTGGCCCTTCGCTCCCCTCCCAGTCTTTGCCTGACTGCTGCCACCAGCTGCGGGAGCACCTCCCCCGCCTTGCCCTCTAGCCCCACGTCTGCTGACACGAATGCGTCCGGGTCCAGGTTGACTGCTATGACCCTGCCGCCACGCATGCGACACATGTGCGTGAGACTGTTGGCGGGAGCAACCTGGAGAAAGGGGAGGGGGAGAAAGGAACGATAAATGAGTGGCACTCAGTGCATGCGACACGTGCGTGTGAGGCTGTTGGCTGGCGCCACCTGGGTGACGATCGGGCAGGGCAAAAGAGGGAGAGACTGAAATGGGTGATATGAAGCGAAAATCTTGACGGCAAAAGCATGATAAGGGAAATAGAAGCTTGGTGCAGTAGATGGGAAATCATGAGGACGAGCAGCGCATGGTGGGGTGGTAGGCGCGTCCGCAGATGCGAGAGTGGAAGACGAGTGCATGTGTGAGCGTGAGTCAGGGCGAGCATTAGCCAAGGTACGGAAGAGCAAGCTTCATATGAGAGGCAATGGAGGAGATGAAGGTGATATCAGCGCGGTTAAGAAAAGCTAACAGATTGTTTTGTAACTGTAACGGAGCATGCTAGAGCAAGCAGACTTGTGAGTAGTGAGCAGTAAAAGTGCTGTGCGTTCTGTGTTGTGAGTTGTGACTTGTCAGTATTCTCAAAGTGGCCGCTAGGCAGGTGTGAGTGTACCATGAGTGACGTGCCGATGACGAGCAGGACATCAGCGGACGCAGCAGCAGCCACTGCAGCCGACATGGCCGCTGCTGGCATGGCCTCGCCGAAGAGAATTACATCCAGTTTAAGCACGCCCGAGCACACCGGACACACGGGCACTGCGACGCCCTGCGCAGCATAGGGGGGAGGGGGGAGGGGGAGGATGGGGGGGAGTGAGTGTACAGGGAGTGAAGTGTGCAGATGAGACAAGCACAGCGAGGAGGAGGCGACGCCCAGAAACACTGGCAGGCTGTTGCTGTTGGATGTCGCCACAGAGGAAAAAAGGATGTCCGCTGCTGTGCATGTAACTGACTGACTGAGAGAGAGAGTCACTGACAGACAGCTAGACAGACAAACAGACAGATGGACTGACTGGCCGACTGACTGGCCGACTGACTGGCCGACTGACTGGCCGACTGACTGGCCGACTGACTGGCCGACTGACTGGCCGACTGACTGGCCGGCTGACTGGCCGGCTGACTGGCCGACTGACTGGTCGGCTGACTGGCTGGCTGACTGGCCGACTGACTGGCTGACTGACTGGCCGACTGACTGGCCGACTGACTGGCCGACTGACTGGTCGGCTGACTGGCCGGCTGACTGGCCGGCTGACTGGCCGACTGACTGGCCGACTGACTGGCCGACTGACTGGCCGACTGACTGGCCGGCTGACTGGCCGGCTGACTGGCCGACTGACTGGCCGGCTGACTGGCCGGCTGACTGGCCGGCTGACTGGCCCACTGACTGGTCGACTGACTGGCCGACTGACTGGCCGACTGACTGGCCGACTGACTGGCCGACTGACTGGCCGGCTGACTGGCCGGCTGACTGGTCGACTGACTGGCCGGCTGACTGGCCGGCTGACTGGCCGACTGACTGGCCGACTGACTGGTCGACTGACTGGCCGGCTGACTGGCCGACTGACTGGCCGACTGACTGGTCGACTGACTGGCCGGCTGACTGGCTGGCTGACTGGCCGGCTGACTGGCCGGCTGACTGGCCGACTGACTGGCCAGCTGACTGGCCGACTGACTGGCCGACTGAATGGCCGACTGCCTGGCTGACTGACTGGCCGACTGACTGGCCGACTGACTGGCCGACTGACTGGCCAACTGAAAACAGACAAACAGACCTTATCGAGCTGCTCCAGCGCCACCTGCTTGCCCACGCTGTGCCCGCATGCCGTGCACGTGCACATGCGCGCGTTGCCATGCACCTCCACCACACCCTCACTGCCCGCCTCCTGTGCCATGGCATGGCATGCAAGCGACATGGTTGTTGGAGAGGGGCGGGCGGGAGGGAGAGGTGGGGAGGAGGGGAGGAGGGAAGATGAGTATCTGAGGGGTTGAGGCTTGAGAAAGGTATGATGTTGCAGTTGGGTGTACCTTTGCGCTGGCAAAAGGGAGAGGTCCGTAAGAAAGACGTAGGTGAGGAAAGAGAAAACACGACGACGAACAAGGGTGTTTGACAACAAAGAAGAATTTAAGGAGATCCCCCTCATTCAGCTCAGCACATGGAGCAAGAGGGCCATCCAGGCAGCCATCCACTGCGCACGCACCTGCTGCAGTAGCAGGCAGCCCATGGTGTGACGACCAAGCTCAGAAGCCCCAGCAGTGCCAATCAGATTTGAGGAAACACCCACCCAGCCACCCAGCCACCCAGACAGCCAGACAGCCACCCAGCCACCCACCTAGTGCAGCCTGTCCACGTTCTGTGTGACCACGCACGTGAGCAGCCCCAGGCGTTGCAGGTCGCCTTTCAGGAGGGTCAGTAACAGCCTCAAATGCACAGGCACGCAACCACCCAGAGAGCCACACTACCGCGCACCTGGTGCAGCCCATCCACATTCTGCGTGACCACACACGTGAGCAGCCCCAGGCGCTGCAGGTCGCTCAGCGCTCGGTGCGCCGCGTTGGGCTGCGCCGGACTCAGGTCCGCCAGCAGAGCACGCACCATCTCCCAAAACAGCTCCGGCCTACATGGGGGCCAGTGGGGCAGGGGGGGAAGGGGGGCAGGTGGGAAGAGGGGCAGGAGGTAGGGATTTAGACGACTCAGACAGCAGCGCACAGCAGGAGGGAAGGGGGGAGGGAGGGAGTGGCGCAGGAAGGGAAGAGGACGGTAGGGCCGGAGCCGATTCAAACAGCAACACATGCACCATCTCTCGTAAGACTTACGGCTTGCACGGGGTGAGGGGGGAGGGGAACGGGGGGGGGGAAGAGAGAGGGATAGGGGGGAGGGCGAGGAAAGCAGGGGGGGAGTGGGGAAGGGAGACAGGAAAGAGGAGGGCCTGGGGGAAGGGGAGGGGGGAGCAGAGGGAGGGGTATTGATGGGTGGAGAGGAAACGTAGGACACGGACATTGAAATCAAATCAAACCCCCGTTGACACTTCCTTCCTCCCCTCATTCCCTCGTTCTCCACTACCCCTCTAACTTTTCCATGCCCGTGAGCACTCAGTCTTTTGAGTCGACTCAAAAGTCGGCCCGGCCACCTTTGAGCCTTGGAGGAGAGCGGGCGGTGGTGGCGCTGCGTTACTTGCCCTTGAGCGCCCTGCCCGCGCTCGCTGCATTGCCTCTGCACAGCACGCGCCCACCAGCTTACCCCCTCACAGACTGCCTCGCCCCACGCCCTTCCTTCCCAGCACTGCTGGCAGCCACCATATCACTGCCTTCCTCACCTCTCCCCAATACAAAATCCCCACTCTCCCCTACCCTGCTCTCTTCCCTTCTCCACTACCCCCACACTGCACCCCCTCTCTACCCCCCCACCGTCCTACGCCCCCCCTGGCAGATGGGGCGCGCACTTGGATTGGAAGACGGGGTAGCTACAGTAGGTGGCGGGGTCGAAGCGCGCCCACAGCCCGTGCGCACTGCGGAAGTCAGGGATGCCTGGGGGATGGCAGGGGGTGTGAGGGGGCAGGGGGCGGGAGTGGGGAGTGGGGGGGAAGATGCAGCGTGAGGGGGCTAGTCTTGAGGCGCCCTCACAGCGAGCCCATAGCCCGTGCGCACTGCGGAAGTCAGGGATGCCTGGGGGGGAGTGGGGGGGTGCGAGGGGGGAAGGGGGTGGGGAGGGAAGAGGGTTGAGGGGGGCGGGGGGGGGGGGGGGGGAGTGTTTGGCGGGGGAGAGGGGCGGATGAAAAGGAGCGGAAGGAAGAGAAGAGACAGAGAATTGGAGTTGTGCTCTGAACATCACATGACTCAACACCCGACTCCACGGAGATCCCAGCTATGCTGTCCATTGCCTCAAGCCTGACTACGTCCGCTGCTCTCTGAGAAAGAACTATGTCTGAAGTCCTCTCGACTCCCCAGCAGGCACCTACCCGTACAGCAATCACCTGCCCGCACAGCAATCACCTACCCGCACAGCGCACACCTGACTCCACGGAGGTCCCCGCGCCGGTGAACGCGACGACACGCTTGGCGTCCGCCACGATCCTGGCGGCGCGCTTCATAAGGTCGTCCGGGGCCACGGCGTCCTCGTCCCACCGCAGGTCCTCGAACCGCATGCCCTCCATCGCACGCCGGCTCACTCCCCCTCCGCCTCGCTCACTCCCCCTCCGCCTCGTTCCCTCCCCCTCCGCCTCGCTCACTCCCCCTCCGCCTAGCTCACTCCCCCTCCGCCTCGCTCACTCCCCCTCCGCCTCGCTCACTCCCCCTCCGCCTCGCTCACTCCTGCGCTAACAATCACTCACCCTCGCTCTCCCTTTCTCGCTCCCCCTTTCTCGCCTCTCTCTCCCTCGCTCTCTCCCCCTCTCTCCCCCTTTCTCGCCCCCTCTCTCCCTTTTTCCCTCCCCCTCTCTTCCTCCCTCACTCTCTCTCTCTCTCACTCGCTCCCTCACTCTCTCTCTCACTCCAAGACTCCCTCGTTCTCGCCTAGCTCCCAGTCTAGCACGATCGCCACCTCCGCCCCCAAGCGCCCCCTGCCGCACCCCCCCGGCACCCCACCCCAGCGATCTCGCGCGCCCGCAGCTACTGTTGCGCGCGCCACCACCCGCACCCCTCGTAACGCCAGAAGAACCCGCGCAAGCCCGCGCTGCGACTAGCGCTCGCCGTCGTTACGTGCGCTCGTTTAGCGCTTATTGCTTGATTGCGGTTGCTGTATGCTCTGTCCGCCTGATGCCCGCCGCTGGGAGCGGTCGGTCGGTCTGGCGCTGTGTGGTTCGCTAGGAAGGACGGGTTGCTCCTACAAGTGCGCTAAGCGCAAGCCGCGGAGGCCGCGGATGTGTGGCGTGAATGAGTGAAGCGGCCGCGTTGGCAGCTCCTGCTGTTGACACGTGAAACTGAAAGGGGTTGCCAGCTACGAGGGTGGACTAAGCGTTTCTTGCTGCACTACAGGGGGGGAAACGAATCTTCAACACCTACCTCGCAGAACGATAATACTTAGCAGTTCTAGCCCATCACCCTCCCTAAGGGCGCCGTGCTTTGGGTTCAGAAACAACCGGCGTGTGGTGGAGTGGGAGTTCAAAGCCAGATGTTTCTAACCCGCCCAAAAATTAAGGGAAATTATACGCTGGGTAACTTTTCATTTTCCCGATTGGTCACTCTTTCCTCTCCTCGGTCAATGTTTAATCGAGTCGAAATCAGCAGCGTCAAACTTTTTGTTCAGTTTGATGCCGCATGGCAAAATATTTCGACACGTGTCCCAGAAATGCGATGTCTCAAAACATCTAGAGATAAACACATAACGTCCAAAATTTGAAGAGAAAACTTCATAGCTAGTAGAGGATTCTGTCCCGGTTTGCATTCGCGCACAGCTCCGCAACGCGTTATTGAGATACAGACATGTCGATTAGGGCAGCCTGAAACTAAATAAAACTGGCAGCAGCCCGTATATATACGGACATGACAATTAGGGTAGTCTGAAACAAAATAAAACCAGCAGCGGCCCTATATTCGACTTGGGGTCGCATCAACCCTAAAGATGCACAAAGCCACGAGTTTAGTATTGATGCCACCGCGAGTCGCATGCGGGCTCCGATGGGTTTGAGTTTTGTGGGCATCCCGAAAAATAAAACGTCAAAAAGTTGATTTACACCTTGAAGAATGGCTTTATAGATTTCTGCAACGAAATCAATGTTATTTCTATTCGAGAATTTTTGTAACAACCAGTAAATTTGCACACGTTCAGTTGTGCAATTTGTGTGCGCTTCGCCTCCTCACTGTTTCCAGTCACAAGAAGACAACAGTTGGCTAGTCAGTCTTCACGAATATAATCTACTGCGAAATTTGAATGTGAGTGAAATCGAATGTGTTTTCAGATAGAGTTTCTATTTGTTCGTCGCTACAAATAGTCTCCCTTTTTTTCTGGGATTTCGCCATTTTCGGACACGTGTCGAAATATTTTGACATGCAGCATCAAACTGAACGAAAAGTTTGACGCTGCTGATTTCGACTCGATAAAACATTGACTGAGATGAGAAAAAGAGTGACTGAATCGGGGAAACGAAAGTAATAGTTACCCAGCGTATAATTTCCCAAAAATTATGGTAACATTCTATCCAGGTACAGCATCATCGGGTTTCAAAACAACATTAGTGTTATGAATTAATCAGGTTAATAACAGGTAGTGTAATAAAGGAGTCGTGATTCAAGAGTGTCGATACAAATGAGGGCCTACGCATTTATAGGCACAAACAGTGCTAGCCGAGAACCACGCGAACAGGTTGGGGCGGTCTGGTTGGCGAAAGCCACAGAAGCGCCGCGCGTCTAGGTTAGGATTCACGAAATGGTTCGGGACCGAAGAAGTTGGCCGAGCCTGGACTTCCTAGATTCGAGGGCGTACGCGCTGTAGTCGAGCCCAGTAAGGAAAAGGGAATTTCCTTACACCATCCCCCCTTCTGGGATGAGACTACCCACATCTAGGACACGTCGATGGTGTAAGTAGTCCCGGACCACTTTGTGTTCGCCCAGCATAGTTGCGGGGACCCAAAGATCGTCGTCGATCGTGAGATCGACCTATCGTACAAGAAAATCGACGGCTGCTGTATTGCGATGGCCTCGTACGCGATGAGCGAGAATCTTGGATGGCTCGATCATCGGCTCGGGTACTGGGTTGACCGTATGATTGATATTTTGTCGGTCGAGATTAGTCGTACTCGGGACGAACGATCGCAGGAGACTGACGTGAAATGAATCATGAATGCGCCAGTCGGCCGGCAGTTGCAGCTGGGCGGTAACTGGTGTCACCATGCGGATGATGCGGAATGGACCGCAAAATCTTGGTTGTAATTTATTTGGGAGTGGAATTCCCAAATTTATGGTATCGAGCAGGACCAATTGCCCGGGGACGAGCGTTAAGTCTCGGCGTTGTCGATCAGCTTGCTGCTTTGCCCTCTGATTGGCTTTGAGGATGGCATCGGCGGCTTTTTGCTGAGACTGGCGGAGGTTTTCGACGAACTGCTGAGATCTTGGTGCCGGGTTCTCTATCGGTGGCGATAGAGGGGTTGTCGGGTCTATCCCGTAATTAAGTAAGAACGGGGATTGAGTGGTCGTGGCCGATGGGGCGTTGTTGTACGCAAACTCGATCAAGGGAAGGGCGTCTTCCCATTGGGCCGTGTCTGTGCACGCCGTGTGAATCAGCTGCTCCATCGTCTGATTGGTGAGCTCAGTCTAGCCGTTCGATTGCGGGTGGTACGCCGTGGACAGATGCAGACTTGTGCTGTACTGCTGCCAGGTTTTTGTCTTGAAGTTGGACGTAAACCGTGGGTCACGATCGCTGATGATTGCCGAGGGGATACCGTGTAGCCGCACGATATTCGTGAGGAACAGTTTCGTTGTCTGCTCGGCAGTAATTGTCGTCTTGCAGGCGGCGAAGTGGGACATCTTGGTCAACCGGTCAACGACGACGAGAATCGCGTCGTTACCGCTTGGACCAGCTGGCAGGCCGGTGACGAAATCCATTGTCACTTGTTGCCAGGGTCGGCTGGGTGGCTCGAGTGGCTGCAGCAATCCCGCAGGTCGAAGTCGGGACGACTTCATGCGTTGACACGTGGCGCAGGAGGTGACGTACAGCTGCATGTCTGTCGGCAAATCGGCCTAGTAATAATTACGGCTCAGTAATTTGGCAGTTTTGTCCATGCCATAGTGACCCGAGAAATTCGAGTCATGTGCCTCCTGTATCAGTAGTTCACGTAGGGTACGGTAGGCGGGAACCCAAATCCGATTGGTACCGGATTTTATGTAATAGGCCCCTTGCTTGACCGTCAGCTGGGGATGACAGTTAGTGGTGAAGAATGGGTCGGTACTGTATCCGTGGGTGAATAGGCCAGTTAGCAGCGGGTTCGCTTAGGTAATTAGAGCGTGTTCCTACCAGCCTCTTCCTAAACAACCTCTTCCCAAACTCGAGTGCTATAGTGTCGCAAATTTTAACGCGAAATGTTTCACTGCGATTCCGCGAAGTGCGAAGTGAGATTCGCCTTCCCGAGATTCAGGGGCGTGTTTTAAAACCTCTTTTCAGACGAGCAGATTTTCAGACAAGCGTGAATCTGCACAGTAAATTTTCGACGCCAGCTGGTTTTATGTGGTTGAGAGCTATTGAATGCAAATATGAAACGGGAGTATTCCGAAAAGTGGTCCTGGGAACACGCTCTCAAGGTCGTGTGTGAGTCTTGGAAGAGGTTGCCTGGGAAGAGGCTCGTAGGAACACGCTCTTAGGACTGCAGCAGTGTGGACTTAAGGGCGGGTCAGTGCGTCGGCGATATTGCTAACTCCCCGTTTGTAAGTGACGCTGTAGTGGAAATTGGACTCGAGGCAATCGAGCCAGCGAATCTCTCGGGAATTCAGTGTCGGTTGGGCGCGGATGAACTATAGCGATTTGTGGTCTGTTCGGATTGTCACGTGAACACCCGTCAGATAGCAGCGCCAGACATTGAAGGCGTGAACGATGGCGAGTAGCTCCTTGTCGTGGACAGGATAATTTCGCTCGGCCGGGTTTAGCTTTCGTAACTCGTAGGCGATGGGTTGGAGGCCTTCGCCGAAGTCTTGTAACAGTACTGCGCCAACGGCCAGATCGTTAGCGTCGGTGATGAGCTCGAACGGACGGTGAGAATCAGCAATCCGAAGAACCGGAGGTGTAGTCATGAAAAGTTTGAGTTGTTCGAACGCAGCCTGCTGCTCTCCCCCCCACTCATAATACTTGCCCCTCTTCAAGAGGTCCGTGAGAGGGGAAGTCAACCCCACCATATTGGGAATGAAACGGCGAACGTAATTCACAAATCCCATAAAATTCTGAAGTTCGCGGAGATCAGCCGGCGGCTTCCAGTCTTGTATCGTCGCAATTTTCTTCTGGTCGATTTTAACGCCGTCGACGGAAATGACGTGTCCTAAAAACTCCAGTTCGTGTTTGAGAAACTCGCACTTAGAGCCCTTGGTGATAAGGCGGTTCTACTGCAAGAGAGAGAAAACAGCTGCCAAATCCTTCAAATGCTGCTCCTGGGTAGTTCTGTAGACCAATATGTCGTCGAGGTACACGATGACACATTTATCCAGTTGCGGTCGAAAAACTTCGTTCACGGTTACCTGGATCGTCGTAGGCACGTTTGTTAAGCCAAAAGGCATAAGCGTGTACTCCTAGCTTCCGTACCATGTCCGAAATGCGGATCTGGTGGTAACTGCCTCGCCGGTCAATTTTCGAGAAGAGCTTGGCTCCGCGAAGTTGGTCGATGAGTTCGTCGGCACGCGGTATAGGGTAGCGAGACTTGATGGTAACCCGATTCAAGGCGCGGTAGTCAATACACATTCGTAGACCGTCATCTTTCTTCGGGGTGGACATGATTGGAGCTGCAAACGGGGATGTGCTGGGGCGAACGAAACCTTTCTTGAGCAGCTAGTCCAGCTGGCTTCGAAGCTCTGTCACCTCGGGCTGAGTCAGCCGCCATTAAGGCCGAACAGTAGGTTGTGCGCCGGGCTCGAGCTCAATTTTGTGGTCATGTTCTCGCTTAGGTAGCAAGATTGTCGGTAGGTCGTCTGGAAATATGTCGGCGTGTTTCCGAATCACCATCGCCAAGTCATCTGGGACAGCGGCGCAGAGTTTGTCGATGTCGGTCGGCGCGTCGACAGCCGTTGCAGTGATCCATCGGACAGCGTACAGTTGCGCCCCTCGAATCATGGCTCGCTTGATCGTCACGGCGCTGACTATTGATGTGGTCGAATCTTGACAGCTCCACTTGGGTAGTCGTCGCCACTCGCCACCCCATTTTATGTGACAATTGCCCGTCCGCCAGTCAATGCTCGGATTGTATTCGCGCAGCCAATCACGCCCCAGGAGCATGTCGCAGCCGTCCAAGGTTGTCGCCAGCATCCTCGTTGTGAAACTGAAATTTTCGCCGCATGTCACTCGCTCGTGAGGTACTCGCTCCCAAATCGCAAGTGGTGTGCCATCGACCAATCGCACGTCGATTTCGGGCATGCTGCGCTCCAGCTGCAATCGTAATTTTTTTGCCTTCGTCACGTCCATCAAACTGTGGCTTGCCCCGCCATCAACGAATATTTTTATGCGGGTGTCGCCAACTCTCCCTTCAACCAGTACAGGGCGATCAACCGGTTCACCCCCCTTATTCAGTCAGGAATGGTCGATAGCCCAAATCGGCACTGTAACATGGTGGGGGTGTTAGCGTTTGGGCGACGCAGTCAAGTCAGTAGGTGGCCCATCTGCTATTGACGATCTCCATTTCCCGAATGCTTATTGTCATTAGGTAAGTTCTTTTTCAGCTGCGGGCAGTCCCTCACCATGTGACCCGGCTGGTTGCAATGGAAGCAGGTTTCCGAAAATACTCGGGCTGCAAACACGTCCACGCCATTGATTGATGTGTGTTGGGGCTGGCCTCGAAAGCGATTTCCCTCCCGGAAATCCGCTCTCGCGAGTCCACGCCGTGCGTCCAGCGCGTCTGCTATGCGAACTATTCATTGAAAGTCGTCGGGGCTCATAGGACAATCTCTTGCTGAATCTCCGGCTTGAGACCACCCACGTAGCAATCGATGCGCTCGTCTTCGCTGAGCCCTCCGATTTGGTCGCAGATCGCCAGGAACGACGCCGTGTATTCTTGGACAGAGCTCAACTGTTATGATATTCTACGGATAAGAGTCGAGTAATGCAATACCGAGGTCGCGATTAATGTGTGTTGAATACACAGGGCTAAATACAAGCAGAGCTAACCTAGCAAGGGAGCCTTAAAGCGAGAGACTATAATAGTGACCCCCCTTTCTAGTTGGGCCCAACTAGAAACGACCCAACAGTGAATATGTTTTTGGAGGAGCGGGCAGCAGCCCCCGTTTTTTAACAAGCCGTCGGCCACGAAATCGAATTGCGCTTGCGACATTTCGCACTGGCGACAAATTTTACGACCATAGATTTGCGTGGTTAGCATTTCGACCAATCGGGGCCCAGCCTCAGTTTTGCTGGAGTAGTGAACCCGGGTCCAACTTGAAATTCAAGTTGGACCCACTTGGTGCAAATACAAGCAGTGGGGGCTGGGAGACAGGTGGCGCGCTGCTTGCGATTTTGCCCGGACCATTTTTCCCACCGTACGACATGTTCCTAAATAGCATACAATTTTTGTCTGATTTTCTGATTTTCAAACTGGTTTTTAGGGGTTTCTCTGATTTTTTAGACAATGGTTTGAAAAAACTATGATTGGCCTAGGCAAGCGTTTAAGATTTCTCTGAATTTCTCATACTAGGTGTACCAGTTTCTCTTATTTGTAGACAAGTGAATCGAGTTTCTCTGAAACAGATACATACATGTATTCCAGTTCCACACACCCCTCACACACCAAAGATTTCAGCTAAGTCCCCCACACCAGAGTCATTCCTCCCCACACCCCTTGCACCCCAAACATTTCGGCTAAGTTCTATCAACATATGTTCCTATATGTAATATGCTAGATATGTGCATGCTCATAGAGGGTACAGCACCATAGTACAAAACCTCCTTGTATGACACGATCTAGTTCATTGCGTTATTCTAGCATGTTATCATGCTAGGTTAGGTCCCCCTCCCCGCCTACGCTTCCGTCCCTAGCCCTAGACCTAGCCTTAGACCGTGCCCTAGCCCGCGCCTCGTCACGCCGCGCTGGCCCCGTCCCACCACGCCGGCCCCCGTCACGCCGCGCCGCCCCTGCTAGACCGCGCCGGCCCCGTCACGCCGCGCCGGCCCCACCCCGAAGCGCCGGCCCCGTCCTGCCGCGCCGGCCCTGCTAGACCGCGCCAGCCCCGTCAAGCCGCGCCTTCCCCGTCACGCCGAGCTGGCCCCGTCACGTCGCGCCGGCCGTGTCACGCCACGCCGGCCCCGTCACACCGCACCGATCCCGTCACTCCGCGCAGGCCCCGTCACACTGCGCTGGCCCTGCCCTCCCGCGCCTCGCCGCGCTGCCGAGCCGCTGCGCCACACTGCCGAGCCGCTGGGCCGCGCCGCCGAGCTGCTGCGCCACCGAACCGCGCCGCGCCGCCAGTCCGCATAGCCGCCACATAGCCGACCCGCCGTGCCGGCGAGCCGGCGGGTAGCCGAATCGCCGCGTCGCCGCGTCGCCGAGTTGCCGAGTCGCCGAGCCGCTGTGCTGCAGTGCCGCCCCAACCTGCCGGCACGGGTTCCCCCTTCTGTGCCAGCGCTCCCGCCGGCCGTCTCCACCGCCGCTCTCCACCACCCTCTCCTCCTCCTCCCCTAGCGACGGTCAGCTGCTGCAGCCGTGGCGATGGCGGACGATGTGCTCCGCCTGGACGCGGAGGGTCGGGCGATCGACTTTGAGGCGTGGCTCGCCGACCTCCGCCGCTCGCTGAGGGGACAGCGCTAGGATGGCCAGTCTCTGGCCATTCACGTCGACAGTAAGATGCCCTGCCCTGACCCGCGTGCTGCCTTCTCTGACACCCCCATGCCCGCTGAGCGTGAGGCCTTTGTAGCTGCTGAGCTCGCTCACTCCGTCTGGGACTCGCGTGACGCAATTGCACAGCTTGCTATCTGTCCCGCCCTCCCCCTGTCTGAGCGCCCCCGCTACCAGGCCTTAGAGGTTGCGCAGACATACTTAGATGATGTTATTGCATGCTATTCCACTCCCTCCTCCGCCTCTGCCAGTCGTCTCCTCCTCCCCCTGCTCTTCCCTGACCTTGCGTCTTTTCCCACTGTTGCTGATCTCGCCACTCACATGCGTGCACTAGAGGCTAGCTACCGCGCTGCTAGCACTGAGGCTCAGCTCCTTGTACTGCCTCCCCCCCTCGGCACTACCCTCTACTTCCTTGCCACGTGCCTTCCTGACTGCCTAGCCACTGCCCGCCACCACTTCCTTGCCCTCCACCCTGCTGACCTCACCCTCACTACCCTAACCGCGATAGAGACCTACCAAGGCACAACCGCTCAGTCGAGCGGTACTGCGGCGGTCCCTATCTTCCAAGGCTGTGTTCCCTCCCAGTGCACTTACTCTAACGTCTTTGCTGTTGTTGTTGAGACCGTCTCTGCTGTTGAGAACGCTGCGGCGGCCTCAGCACAGTCTCATCAGGGTAAGGGACGCCGGGCCCCGGGGGGGCGTGGCGGCGGGAGGGGTGGCGAGGGTGGCGGGGGTGGCAGAGGTGGCGGAGGTGGTGGAGGGGATGGTGGTGCAGACGAGGGGACCGGGGCTGGTACCCCCAAGCAGTAGCCTCATCAGCAGCAGCAACAGCAGCAGCAGCAGCAGCAGCGGCAGTCGCCGTGGGCGCCCTCACCTCCGTGGTGGGATGGCGGTGCTGGTGGTGGTGAGGGGCGCAGCTCGGTGCCAGGTGGTCACCTGACAGTAACAGCTTCAGTCCGGCCCCCGCCGCGACACCGTCTGTGACCGCCCCAGTCACACCGCCGAACGCTGCTACCGCCGCCTCGACGACCTCTTCCGTCTCCGCTTTGACCCCACGGCAGACCCCCCCGATTGGTACAGCCTGGTGCGTCGGTGTGTGCTTGTCTTTGAGATGGACATGGATCTGATTAGGTCTGCTTTGTATGCCATGTATGCTAATGACTCTAGTGTGACTAGACCTTATTTCCCGGTGTTGCCTAGCGTATGTGTGTCCTTTGTGTGTAGTCTAGGTTCCCCTGCTGTGTCAAGCATAGGATCCATTGCCTTGTTTAGCCTAGGCTCCGGCAGACGCTACTGCTCTGCTCTCCGTCACGCTCAACTCTGGAGCGTCTACCCGCTTCTTCCGCGACCGCACTGCGCTCATGTCTCTCGCCGCCCCTGCCGCTATCGCGCTTGCTGACTCCTCCTCAGATCTGGTAGTTGCCCGTAGCGCCACCACCCTTCCCGTTCAGACGGTCCCCTCGGGTACTCTTACAGGCCTACACATCCCCCCGTTTTCCAGGAACATAGTGGGAGTTGGTGTCTTCAGCACCTCGGCTTCACCACTACGTTTCCTGGACACGAGCGGTACGCGGTCTATACCGAGGCCGCCACTGGTGCTCCTCTGACCACGTTACCCCTGGACCCTATGTCTGGCCAATTTACGCTTGACACTGCATCCCCCCCAGTGAGGGCGCCCCCCAGGTGCCTGCGTCGACCTAGGCCGCTGCAGCTTGCTCGTGTCGGTCGCTCACTCACCCCTCACTGCTGTGGCACCACCGCCTAGATCACCCCGCACTCCCATGTCTGCGTCACATGTCCCATCACGGTCTTGTGTTCGGTCTCCCTGCGTCGCTCCCTGCCCTTCCTCCCTTGTCTGCACTGCCATGCACGCCTTGTGTCGAGGGCCGGCTGCGCCATGCTCCTCACTCCTCCTCGCTTCCCCCTACCACTGTGCCACTCCAGACCTTACACCTGGACGTCTGGGGCCTAGCCCCCGTTCCTGGGCCACATCGCGAGCGCTACTTTCTAGTGCTTATCGACGACTACACGCGCCACACCCCGGTGTTTCCCATGGAGCGGAAGGCCGACGTGCCTGACGTTCTTATCCCGTGGGTCGTAACTGCGCGAGTCCACTGGGGCCTCCCTGTGTTGCGTCTCCACTCCGACCGTGGCAGCGAGTTCGCCTCCGGTCGGCTTGGCCAGTTCTGTCGTGCACAGGGCATCACCCAGTTGTACACCTTGCCGGACTCCCCGCAGCTGAGTGGGATCGCTGAGCGACGCATCGGTTTGGTCATGGAGGTGGCTCGTACCTCCATGATCCATGCTAGTGCACCCATTTTCTGTGGCCGTTTGCTGTTCGCTATGCCACTCACCAGCTTAACATGTGGCCGCACTCCCACAGGCCGCAGGTTTTGCCGACGCTTCTCTGGATTGGGTTCCCTGGTGACGCGTCTGCGTTCCACGTCTAGGGCTGCCTTGCTCACATACTATCCCCTATGTCTTCATTGGCTTCCCCCTCGACGTGTTTGACTGTCACTTTTACCACCTGCCGTCTCACTGCATCTTTCACTCGTGACGTCACTTCTGATGAGTCTGTCTCCTTCTACCACCGCTTTCCCCACCGAGGTCTCCAGGTTTCCCCGCCCCTGTTTCTGGTTCCCACTCCCCCGATAGCATGTGCTCCTCTCCCTCCCTGTCCTGATCCGTCTGGTGTGTCTCACGTCATTCCCCTCCTGTAGATTGTCTGGGTCGAGGAGTCGGCTGACTCTGGTGGCCCCGTGGTACCGTTCTCGCTGCCTGTCTCCACCACAGTGTCTCTTCCTCCACTGTCGCCGCAGCAGCAGCCATCGCTGCCGTCGCAGCCGCAACAGCAGCCGCAGTCATCGCCACCACAGTAGGAGCAGCCGCAGGGGTCCGCCAGCACTGGGGGTGCGGGCGTTGAGCAGGGTGCTAGTCGTGGGGTTACTGTCGTGGCTTGTCCCGGCGGTGCTGGGGAGGGTACTCGATCTGGGGGTGCTGGTTCTGGGGGTACTAGTTTTGGGGTTACTGTCGTGGCTTGTCCCGGAGGTCCTAGGGGTGGCACTCATGCTGGAGAGGGTTCTCGTTCTGGAGAGGATTCTCGTTTTGGGGGTGTTGGCGTGGAGAGTCCCGGAGGCAGCCGTGGTGCAGCTGGAGGTTCTGGTGTTGGTGTGGAGCAGCAGCAGCAGCAGCAGTCGCCGCCAGTGTCTGCCCTTTGCCTCCTCGGTCTTCCCTCCCCTGACCACCCACCTGCACCTCCCCTCAGTTGCCTTCCCTGCTTGTCTATGGCCCTGTGTTTCCGCTGCCAGACTCGTCTCTGGCTCGTTTCCCCCCACGTTCTCCTCCTGTGTCTCCTCATGTGTCTCCTGACCCGACGCCTCCGTCCCATTTCTGATCTCGCCGTCCCTCTCGTGCCCGTCCTGTCTCTCCTATTCAGCGCTCCCACCCTATGTTGCTCCGTTCCCACGCGTTTCATCCTTCCCTCCTCCCGTCGCCTCCTCCGCCGTCGCTTGTTGTCACTCTGCCTCCACTGTCTGACTACCTTCGTGCCCCTAGTCCTCTTGTTCCTCGAGTCCTTGCCTCCCTCGTTACCGACCTGTCTCTTCCTGTCTCGAGTCTTGACGCTCTTGTCGCTGCCGTCGCTGACTTTGCCTCTACCCCCCTCCTTGACTATGCCACCGCTCTGGTCTCTGACCCTGCCCGTCCTCCGTCCGTCGAGGGTGCTCCTGCCCTAGGCAGTGACGTCCTGGAGGACCAGAGTACGAGCTTGCGTTCCAATCCAAGGCCGCGCCTCATCTCTGCTCCATGCTGCTAGTCCCTGAGGGTGACCTAGACGCCTTTCACGTCGCGACCCCTCGCACTTACGCTGAGGCGACCTCGGGACCCTGAGCCTCTCATTGGATAGCTGCCATGGAGCAGGAGATGGTATCTTGGAGATCCACCGGCAGCTACGTCGACGCAGTTCCCCCACCTTGGGTGAACGTAGTCGATGGCTGGTGGCTCTTCAAGGTGAAGCGCCCTCCTGGAGAGCCGTCGGTGTTCAAGGCGCGCTACATTACTAGTGGCTTTAGTCAGCGCGAGGGTATTGACTTCTTTCATACCTTCGCCTCGACCCCGAAGATGACCATTCTTCGGGCACGACTGTACATAGCAGCTCAACGTGACTACGAGCTGCACTCTCTGGACTTCTCCACAGCGTTTCTCCAAGGCAGTCGGCAGCTAAGAGGGTTTTGCGTTATCTAGCAAGTACCTCGGGCATGGGGCTAGTGCTAGGAGGACGCAGGCCAGTGGTCCTGACATGGCACACAGGCACTTCGTGGGCCGATGACGCTGAGACGCTCATGTCCTCTCAGGGCTACTACTTTATCCTTGGTGCAGGCACTGTCTCGTGGAGGTCCACCCGCTCATCGTCTGTTGCATAGTCTAGCTGTGAGGCTGCGATCTACGCTGGTGCCATGGCCGCACAGGAGCTCCGCTGGCTAACGTTCCTGCTCACAGACTTAGGTGAGCGGCCTAGCTCTGCCCCGCTCCTGTACGCTAACAACAGGGCCTTGATCCTCCTGTGTCAGGAGCCTCGACTTGAGGGCAGAGCGAAGCACATCCAGCTGCGGTACTTCCTCCTTCACGAGCTACAGCAGCGACGACAGGCCCTTGTAGTTCACTTGGCCTCCTGCACGAGCGAAGCACATCGAGCTTGCGCCTAAAGATCGTCAGCGGCACTATGTACAGCTTGGTCTAGTTCCAGTAGATCCTCACTTGCTAGGACCTTGATTGTGTACTACTCATATTATATTCTCCTGACTGGCCTTGTAGCTTTTGCTCCAGTGGCCAAACTAGTAGTGCCACCCTGGTTTGCTCTTGTCTTGTTTGTACTCTTGTGATTGGTCTTCAGACCCTTGCCTCAGAGGTTGGACTAGTTGTGCCACCCTTAGCTGCGTGTCTCTTGCCAGGCTCCGCCCCTTGTCTAGCCTAGGGGGTGTGTCAACATATATTTCTATATGTTATAGGCTAGATAGGTGCATGCTCATAGAGGGTACAGCACCATAGCACAAAACCTCCCAGTATGGCACGATCTAGTTCATTGTGTTACTCTAACAAGTTCCCCACACCAGAGACATTCCTCCCCATACCCCTCAAACTCCAAAAATTCTGGCTAAGTTCCCCACACCAGAGACACTCCTCCCCATACCACTTGGGGGCGGGGGCAAACCCTGAAATGGTAGGGCCAAAACAGAGGGCTGCCTACACGTGACACGTTACGTGAGTCTCATTGCCCACTTCCCCTTCGCCCTCGGCTCCGCAACACGTCACCCCACGTCACCCTGTGTCCATGATTGACACAGTTAGGCACCCCACCCCACGTGAGAACCAGGGTCTTGCAGGAAAGACGGAAACGTAAACATTCGAAGTCAAAATTGCGCGCGACAAAGTTTCTTGCTTAAATATGCTAGTAGAAATATGCTTTCAATAGTTATGGTAATTAAAAAATCGCCTGAAATTTAAGACCGTGCTTGAAGTTTCGTCTGAATTCTCAGACATTCGCTAAGTATTCGTATGAGAGTCAGATGAAAGTTCAAAGCCTAGTCTGATTTTCAGACGGCCGAAAATCCTAGTAGAGACCATGGATTGGACACTTAGCGGTTTTGCTCGTTTGTAACCCGCAACTGCTAATTAGTCGAAGTGCATACAAACAGACTATGCAAATACGTTTCTCTGAATTTTCAAACATTTGTTCTAGAATTCTCTGAAAAATCAGACAACTTTTTCATACTTCTCTGATAGTGAAAAGTGCATCAGACAAAGTGCGCAAACCTTATCTGATTCCTCAGACACGTTTTTTTTCCAAAAGAGAACCCTGCACGAACTCATACGAGGTGGTTTGGGTGCCTGGGGACTCGGAAGTGTTGGACGCGACCCAGCGTGTACGCTTGGGGGTCTCGAACTTTTTTCGAACCTGAGATGTCAGCCGAGCCTGGACTTCCGAAACTCATGCTGTACTCGATATTAGCGAGGCCTGATAAGGAAAAGGGATTCTCCTTACACCTTCCCCCCTCCTAGATGAGACTACCCACATCTGGGGCAGCCCGATCCTGTAAATAGGCCTGCACCCGTAGGTGGCTGTCGAGGGTAGTTGCGGGGACCCACCCGTTGTCGTCGTATGTACGGTCAATCCATCGAACCAAAAACTCCAAGATCCCTTGACCATGGTCGCAGCGGATTCTGTGGGAGAGAATTTGCTGTGGCTCGGTTATTGACTCGGGGATGGATCTGATTGAAGGATAGAGTCTTGGACGGTCGAGATCAGCCGTGTTCGCAACGAATTGTCGACGAAGACTGACGTGGAATGAATCGTGGATACGCCAGTCGTCCGGTAACAGTAACTTGGCAGTGACAGGTGTTACCATTCGAACAATTCGGAAGTTTATGTAGGGCCTACAGAATCTCGGGCGGAGTTTATGTAGTAATCTCAACCCAAAATCTTGGTATATAAAAGGACTAGTTATTCATGTTACAGGAGTAAATCCCGTCTATGCTTGTCAGCATACCGTTTGGCAGTAAGGTTGACTTTTGAAATAGCCTCGGTAGCATTTTTCTGTGCAGTCTGTAAGTCCTTGACCAACTGTTGCGACCCTGTGGCGGGACTCTTAACTAAGGGTGTAGTTGGAGTCGTGGGGTTTAGACCGTAATTCAAGGAGAACGGTGATTCGGCAGTCATGGACAAAGAGGCGTTATTATACGCAAACTTGATCAAAGGAAGGGAATCCTCCCATTGGGTCGGGTCGGTACAGGTTGTCCGTATCAGCTGCTCCATGGTCTTATTTATCAGTTCAGTCTGATCGTCGGTCTGTGGGTCGTAAGCCGTGGACAGATGGAGACGTGTATCGTACTGTTCCCAAATTTTTGTCCAAAAGCTGGACGTAAATCTGGGGTCACGATCGCCTTCGGGATTCTGTACAAGGGAACGACGGTTGAGATGAACAGCTTGGAAATTTGCTCGGATGTAATCGTCGTTCGGCATGGCGTGAAATTAGCCATTTTCGTAAGTCGATTAACGACCACGAGTACAACGCCTGCCGGCAGTCACGAAGTCCATGGACACGTGTGTTCAGAGCTTTGTGGGCGATTCTAACGGTTGCAGTAATCCACAATCCTCCTAGCGAACAAAATACCCCTCGTTGCGCTAATTGGCCCTCCTTTTGTTACCCGCGCCTGTTGCGCTAGTTTCGCATGGTGGGACCGCGTTACCCATTTGTATGTCTGTGCTGGTTTTGGTGCTGTCCTTCCGAACTATACCTTTCATTTCAGACCTTTTTCCCAAAGCTAGTCTTCAGAATCGATTCACATTGCGTATCGTCAGACGGCTCCGCGTGTCAAAAACGAGTAAGCGAATTTTGGGGACACGCCATTCGAGATGATACCTAGCAAGTGTCAAACCCTCTTGACACTAAGTGTTCACGACAAAGATGTGGACACATCAGTACACTTGCTGCGGTGTGTTGATCCGGGATTTCAAATATTTGACCCGAAGTGCATGACACTTGCTCGGAATCGCCCCTCGAGCAGTCTCAAACATTCCGCATTCCGGTAGCGTGTCAATTTTCGTGTCAGACACCCTGACACGATTTTTTTATAGGGTTTTTGAGGTTGAAAATTTGCCAGTATGTATATGATTTTAAAATCAAGGTTTATCCATGCATCAGAACCTCGGTTAAGAAGATATTTTTTTTGGAGTCAATTAGTATACTCGGAAGCAAGTTTACAGAACACTGTGCCTGATACGAAGATTGACACGTCTCCGGAATGCGCCCTGTGAGCATAGCAAAAACGAGCTTCTACACGGAGCCCAGACACGCACTGGAGGAAATCGCGCGCTTCGACGAAAATCAAGAATGGTTCAAAACGGTCGACCCTTTTTGCGTGCGATGTATGCCATGCCCCCGTTACCCAAAACGGTCGACCCCCCCTGACTGTACCCGTTTTCGTGTTGGGTTCAGATGCCACTACGTTTTTTCGGGGCAACTGGTTTGGGCAGCATGTGTAGGGTCCAATAAGGAGTAATACGATAAACAATGACGGCACATTAAGGGATGCGACATTCGAAAAAGGCACGCGCAACCATTTTGGGCACAATGTCCTGATCTCGACAAAATAACGGGTGAGGTTTTCGCTGAACTCGGATTCCGACGGGGAATTTTTCCAAAACCAGGGTTTGAAACCGGATTTCTGACGGGGAAATTTTGGCAAAAGTGGCTGTGAAACCCGGATTTGATGGGTGAATTTTGACAAACCAGAGTGATGAACACGGATTCTGACGGGTAGCTTTGGCCAGATACAGGGATCTGACGAGTGCCCCAAAAACCAAACATACATCAGATGACTCCAGCACGTACGTTCACGCCAGATGCAAGGGAAAGGCAGGCACGAGCAGATTTTTTGTCGCGACCCATTAAATGCATGTTCGCGCAACAATTGAATTGGGATCCGACAAATGTTTTCACAGCGACCCAAAATTATATTTCCAATATTCGGCACATCAAAACGAAAACGGGTACAATCAGGGGGGGGTCGACCGTTTCGGGTAACGTGGGCATGCCATACATCGCGCACAAAAAGGGTCGACCGTTTTGAACCATTCTTGATTTTCGTCGAAGCGCGCGATTTCCTCTATACACTGGACTCCAGGAAAACACAGGCATGAGGCTTCGTGTCAGGTCTTCATTGGTCTGGCGGCTGACACGCACTTGTTAGGGCCATAGTTCATTTCATACGACCAGTATAGCAGTTTCAGCTTTGAGTCAAATATTTGAAGTCAGCACAATATGCTTTGAAAAAGTCGCGTTCACCGGCCATCTGGGAACAGCTGGTCTTTCACTTGTCTCATCAGCTTTCATTGTACACTAGTGCTTGTGACACCCGTACATTGGAACTAGAATCATGAGTAGAAAATATACATGATTCAGCTACTAACGCAAAGTTTGGGGTAGCAAGATTGAGCGATGGGTTGGTCCCTTTCCCCCCGCTAGAGCCAAAACACTTGACATGGGCAGACTTGCGGAGCCTAGCTGGCTTGAGTCCACCGAGGAGGGAGGATACGTGATTCGTGAAAGGAATGGATGGAACGTGATTCGTGAAAGGAATGGATGGAACGATACGCACAGTCCGTCCGTCCGCCCACCCTCCACCACTTGACAATGGGAGAATCGCGCAGCTCGTTAAAACCGCGTTTTGCCCGACCCCCAAGCAACCCCAAACTAGGGCTTGTGCTAGTTTTCCTGATAGCTTGGACGATTTGGGCCCCTCTGAAAAAAAACCCTGTAAAATCCGAGCCCACCTAAAAATTGCTCAGAAAAAGGCCGGAGGACCACCAAATTTTGCCCGGTGGGAAAGTGCTGCAATCAGGTATGGTCGTAAGTATTTGGCCTCGCTCCACCAGCACCACGGTTGTGGGGGAGGGGGGGATATTTCTCACATAACTTACTAACTCTAGTAGTAATAAAAGATTGGGCCTCTAACAAGGGAGCCTCCCCGATATACTGGAGCTTTGAGATATTTGGGGAGAAATATTGAGGAAGGAGGGTGGGGGCGTTTGGGGAAAATTGGGGGGGGGTTGTGAGGGGCAAATTTCCTGAGAAGCAAAAAGGGGTAGGGAGGGGGGCACGGAGGCGTAGGGGGGGGGGGGGGGAAGAGAGATGGGGCAAGGAGAGGAGAAATCGAGGGTCCGAGCCGCCCTGGAATTTCCCTTGGATGAGTACGTGTCCAGCGAAAACTAGCTTGTATTTTCAGTCAAGACATGGTGATTGCTATTCCAATTGACATTAATATTGCAAATACGATTTGTATGTCATTGGGCACCAACACGCGTGAATGTACAATAGATGCCGAAAAAAATCAATTATCTGTCTTCTCAATTACTCGGATCTCCACTGGCCTTGTTATAATTTCCAACCGAACTAAGGGGGTGCCCTATGGTGCCAAGAGGTTTCGTTCTCTCTCACAAGCAAAGTGGCAAAATCTTGGAGGGTTGAGGTGGGCTCGGATGAGAAATTAGGTATAAAGCTTTAGAATCAGGGCAAATTCCTGCTTCGTGTTATCCCGCGGATGACATCTGATTATGCCTGCAAGGTAGGTTCCGTCGAACCCAACGCAGGGGCAAAATCGGATGACATCCACGTGATGACGCGGCGCTAGAATTTGCCCTCAACTGGGGTTTGGCATGCCAACGACAAAGTCCGTATCATCGTATATTTTGAACCTTTTGATGCAGTAAGCCGTAAAAAGCATAAGATACCAAAAAATGTAGGAACACTTTGCATGATTCATCCATGCATACGTTGAAACTCGCGAGGTTTGCTGGGTCTTGTTGGAGATATATAGGTTGACATCCGATTTGCCTGGTTGATTTGCCAATGGATATATTCACTAGCTAGTTCATAGCATCGGAAAATCGACAGCCCCCTAAGAAACCCGGATTCCCAGGCAATGAGTGGGAGCAATCTGCAAGATTCAACCAAAAGGATTCAAGGCACACTAGAAATCCAAGTAAGTGCATGAGGTCTCACCGTGTATTTATGTAGCGTGAGGTGGAAATTTAGGAATCCATAGTTGTGGCGACCGTCATAGCCGACAAGGCCTACAAGGAGGGCTTGCGGTGAATGCATAATGCTCCCTTCTTTAAGCCCATCATAGAACAGTCAAGCAATCTAACACCGCTAGCAAAGGGTGCAATGTACACATCCAAGGACAAGAACAATTAATACTGCTCAAAGGGTGCGTGGTACACGTCCAGGGACAAGTCGTTGGAGGTGTTCTTGCTGCACACCTTGGAGCACCATTTCAGCATCGGTTTTTTCTCTGTCAAGCAAAACACAAGTGTTATAGTACACAAGTCCACCATCCTAAAGGAGTCATCTAAGTGCATGTGGGTCTATGCTTATGCCAAGTTTTGGGTGTTTACGAAGCCATTGGAGCCCAATGAACTAGACATACGAAAGCATCACGCTATAAGTGTGCTCAACAAACTACCCATGTTGAAGCACTTGTACGGAGACATGGTTTGTGCACACTCCACGCTAAAAGTGTACTCAACAAACTTCCGAATCTTCTATCTGCGCTAGCAAATGCCCATCCACCACTGGCAGGTGTGGCGCCTACGGGAGATTCTGGTGAAGGAACGGTTTGGGAACTGGCGTTAGTCCTTCACCCATGTCCTACTGATTGCTGAGCAATTGAAGTTCATCGACCCATGGTTGAATGTTGTATGGACAACGTTGAACACCTGTTTCTTCTTATTTTTCATTTCCTTGTCTATGTCGCGTTACAAGCTAAGGTTTTGTTGGCCGGTGTTTTCTTTCGAGGACACGCATCTCATCAGCCTACACCATGCAACCCTCCTCTTTATAGTGGTTCTGGACGAGAACTAGGAGGTGTTCTTGTTAGCTTGGGCTTTCATCAAGTATGAGAACAAAGATTCGTGAACGTGATGCTTGCAACAGTTTTTCAAGACTTTCACTGAGTGGAAAGACATGCCATATGCCGCTGTCATCAGCGACCGAGACCAAGGACTGATCTTGGTGGCTCGCGAATAGCACACTGCGCTTTTAGCAGAACCTAGAGAATCTTGGGAAGGATGCACAAAACTTCTTCTAGCGCCTGCTCAAGTGCAAGAGCAAGACCAATTGGAAGGCCCTAGTGGGTGCAATACAGCGGAACTACTTGGAGATGGTGGAGGCACGGATCCCAAGGCACTGCCGCTACCGAATCCACAAGAGGCACGGACGGATGCCGAAACAAGAGCTTACGCCCAACAAGCAGCGCATGAGGCACGTCACGGTGTGTGCCATTCCAACCTCACAACCTTGGTCGAAGGGGGGGTGAGGGGATGTCGTGGAGGGGGCGGTAAGGGGGTGGGGTCAGGGTGTGGTTC